TCGGCTTTCGATCAGTGCGTTACCTCTCGCCCTGAGCCTTTTGGAGTTTCTGAACTGATGGGACCATGTGAGTGGTGCTCAGTTGTCCAGTGGCTCCCTTTTCTGTCAGGCTGCTTGAAAGGGAAAACCGGAAACCACCCTTTTTGGGGGGGGGGGCCTGTAGGGGTGAGACAGACCCATAAAGTATTCTCAGTTGTCCAGTGGCTCCAATTCTTTTTCCCCCTTCTTTTTTGGTGGTTGCCCCACTCAAAGTGGTCCAAGCCCAAAAAAGGGTTCCCTTTTTTTTCCAGGGTCACTGAACAACTGTGGGTAAGAGCAAGGTTGGACCGAGAGGGCTCCTTAAAAGATCTCCATTTTGCCACCACTTGAAACATGTGGCTTTTTCAACACCAAAATAAAGAAATGGACACCACCATTTACAAGTTGCAATGTTCAGGTGTATAGTGTAAGGATTTGTTTGACAACTATTTCAGTGGGCTGTCCATGTTTAAGTGGGTCTTAGTCACTTCTTGGACCCGTTAGCCTTTTTTTCGTGGATCAACCCCCACAGCTTGGACTTGTAGCAATCCATATCCACGGTTGTCACCTCATTGGCTGAAGTTTTTTTAGAGCCCACGGTGCCAGTTGGGCCCTTTGGATTGGCCTTTCTTAGCCTGCGAGTTGCGGACTGGTTTTGGTCCGGGGGAACCCCCGGAAGTGGCATCCAAGCAAAAAGTCAAGGGGGTCTACTTAGACCGGGGCCCTCCATGGAAAAGGGGTACCTTCCAAGTCCATTCTGAACCCAGGGATCCAAATCTTTCCAGGAAATCATCAAAAACCCGGGGGAAACGGCGATCGGTTTTCGAAGAGAACGATGGTTGAACAGAATGGACTTGGAAGCAAACCCCTAGGTCCATTCGAAAAAGGGGCACCCCGGGACCATCAAAAATCACTTCCACCCCCCCCCAATCTCAAAATCCAGCAGGGGTAATTACTCAGATCCGGAAATTTTGTTTGGGGGTACCATTGGATCGGATCTTGCGCATCTCAGGCTTCCATTTCTCAGGAATACCCCCCCCCCCCTCCCCCCTCCCCCCCAAATAAAAATCAACCAGGGCCAGGGCTACCTGGATCCATGGCTTTTTTTGGTCCTCGCATGGACCTGTCGCACGGGTACCCATAAATGGCAACAAAGACTGAAACCGCGTAATCCCAGCTTAAAAAACAAATGCGCCACACCCAAATCCACCAACCCAGGGCTTACACTTGGATCCGTGGTTTCCCTTGGGTCCTCACCATCCGATCGCTTCCATCTCAGGCTTCCATTTGCTCAAGAATACTCACCCCCACTCAAAATCAACCAGGGCCAAGGCGATTTTGATCCATGGCCTTTTTTTGGGTCCTCGCATGGACCTGTCGGATCCGGCTGAGGCACCTCCAGCAACCTCTCGCCCAACGTCTCGGACTTCCACCGGGTCCTCGCCAGCCTCGCAGCCTTCCGCACGGAGCTGGCGAACAGCCAGAAGGCCGGCGGCGGGGATTTTTTTTGGTCGGGTCGACTGGTGCTCAGTTGTTCAAAGCGAATCGACCTTTTGGATTTCCAATTTTGGTCCATATTTAGTCATGGCCCAAAAGGTGATCACCTTTTAGTTCCAGGTTCTTTGGGAAACTGAGGGCAGCATGGGGCTGCCCGGAAGCTCGAGGTTGCGGGTTTTTTGAGGCTGTTTTTTTTTTGGGGGGGGGTTGCTGGTGGTTCAGGGAAGCTTTGGGTTTTTTTCTAGGTTGCGGGTTTTTTGGGGAGGTGCTGGTGGCCAGGGGGTTCCCTTGAGCCGAGAGGCCTGGTTTGCCTTGAGCCTGGCTTCAGGCAAGCCTTACTTGGGTGCAGGGTTGGCGGGAAAGGGAAGCTGAACCAACCCAGGAACCGGTGTCCTAATCAGAAAAGGGGAGCCACACGTGAGGCTTCGTGAAGGGGTCGAATTGCAGGTAAACCTGAATTGCGCAAGGACACAGCCCTCCAACGACGGACTCACACCGCCCCTTTTGGTTGACTTTTTAAGAGGAAGCCAAAGGTCAGGTGCCCGTATTGGTGGTTTGGAGCCCGGCGGCCACCAATCAGTGGGAAGCTGAGATTTGATCCGCAAACCGGCCCACCTGACATTATCCCAAAAAGACTTGGGAAAGCGAAACACACACACACACACACCAAAAAAAACAAGCAACCATTTTTGGGGGTCCCCCAGAAAAAAAAACATACCCATTGGCGTCCCATTAAAACAATAATACCAGTATTTTAATGTGGTGTCCTTTTGGGTTCCCTTTTTCAATCAACCCCAAAAAGGTAACCCTCGAAAGAAAACACCCCCTCATCTATTCCTACGTACATCTGCCCTACTCATATTCCACTAGTAATAGAACCCCCCCTTTCAACCCAGGAGAAAATCAGAAGCAATCATTTCAGCACATGTGTCCAGCCGACTGCCAGGCTTTGTTCTACTTTGAAGGCATCGACCACGTTTTGCCCCAAAAGACCCCTCTGAATAGTTTCTCTCGGGCTCCAGAGTCCTTGAGCGAAGAGAGCTTCTGGCTCCGGTTCTCTCGTTGCAATGAGCTCCTCAAAACGGTGGCGTGTCAGACACGTAGCCCAAAGCCAATCCACCATGACTGTTTTCCCATGGCGTTGGTTGACCAAACTGATTTCCAGGTTCTGTTCGGCTGGTGCACTCCTCTCCCCCCCCCCCCTCCCCCCCGAATTTTTCCCCGTCCACACGCAGCGGGCAGCTGTTGGTCCGGGTCACCGCGCCCGTTTTGAGGCCACCCTGAAGCTGCTGGACGAAGAGCTCGAGAAGGTGAAGCGCTCCCCAGGCGGCACGCGGTGAGTTGTGGTCGGTTCCATGACTCATGGGGGAAGTGAGCCCTACACAAGCCCTTAATGAGGGCTGACTTTCGTCCAGATTGTGAAGTCAAGTTTGTTTTTGTTGCAGCCACTTCTGTTATACCTTTGGGACTCTCCCCCTTTATATGGGGCCCTTTTCGTTGTACCTCGGAAGTGGGTTCCATGTACCACAGCCCTGCTTTAGTCACTTGTTGGGTTTGGATAAACAAAGTGTGAGTACTTTTTTTGTGGCCAAACTCAGGCAGTTAGCGGGCCAAAATCAAAGATAAGGTGAGCAGGTGAGCTGTTGGCTTTCTGTGGGTGAGTTTCCTCTTAAAGAAACCGTATAGCCGTCTTGTCGGCGAATCCGGCAACGATAAAATCTGCAACTAGGTGCAGATAATATAATGACACGCTTTGCACATGTACACATTTGTATACAATATGTTTGCCTATTCGATTCCGGTTTATGTACATTTGTTTGCTTGCTCATATTAGTCTAAACCTGGGTACGCGCTTATATGCATGTATATATATATATGTATATATATATATGTGTATACATATATATGTGTGTGTGTATATGTATATTGATATATACTATACAAACATATATATATATATATATACACAATACATCATATGCATCATGTGCGTGGCACAGCAGGCATGGGCCCTGTGGCCCTGGCCCGCGGCAACTCGGGCTTCGGGCGGAAGAGCACCTTCTCCAACGCGGAGGCGGTCCCCCGGAGCGCCCACGGCTCCGAAGGCAGGGCTCCGCTCCGGATGGGTGGGTAAGTCATGGCTGGCCGGTTGGGCGGTTGAAAACCCGGCCATTTTAAAGGGAATTTGGTGGCCATAAAAACAGACACACGTTTACTGAAGGACACCGTTGTTATTGTTTCCCTTTGGAATCGAGTTTTCTCTTGGGAATATTTTGTATTTTTTCCCAGGAGGCGAACAAGCAACTGAAAGAGGATGGCTAGGTTTCCCTTTCAACCTGATAAGGGCGCCCACTACTTCCATTTGCTGAAGAACTTTGTTTCATGTTCACTGGTTTTTGAGGGGATTTCTCACATATGCTTGAGCAAACGGTGGTTTTCCAGAAACGTCCCTATTTGTTTGAGGGTTATTTGTCCAGAGCTAATCGGTCGGATCTGACCTCTTTTTTGTTCTCATCTTTTGGTATGGCTCTGGAAAAACACACTGACAGCTTGTTGTAGCAGACTTGTTAACGTTCTGAGATTACAATGGCTGAGGGTAATGCGATTTTCGAGCAGGAGCTGCCAAAGTGTACTTCATGTACTGCACTTGTACCGAGCAGTTGCAATGTTAGGGCTGGAGCTGCCCAAGTGTATTACGTGCGCGATGCAAAGCGTACTAAAGGGTTGCGCTTTGCGAGGTTGAAAGTACATAAAAAACCACCGCATAAACGAAGCGGCTTGAATTTTTGAGGGAGGTCAACCGGGCTGGCCGCAAGATACTTGCAACACAAGGGCTCCTCAGATTTCACCATGTTTTGTTCTGGACACTGGGACTCGCCCACTGGAAACACGAAAGCACACGTGTTTCTTTCGCATGAAAAGGCTAAAAGTGGTAGAGGAAGAGGCCAACAAAAATCGCACGAAGCTCATGCGTTTCTCCTTGCCTGGCTGCAAGAATTGTTCCTTGCCCCCCCCCTTCCACGCACCCAGAGCCTCAAAATCGTGCTGATCGGCTGGTTTGCCTTTAGCGCAAGCGGAAAAAACAAAAGACACACCCACCACTCCTCCCCGCGCCCACCCCCCCCCCCACACCCCTTCTTCAGTCACAAATTAGGCTTTTTAGAGGGAATCTATCACTACTGGAAGTAGCTTCATTTTTTCCAGGGGGCGAAGAAGCAGCAGAAGCCCACCCCCCCCCAATCCCCTTTAGTCACAAAGCCTTCTGCGTTTCGGAGGCCTCAAGGAAGCGGAGAAAGAGGTGAAGCGCTTCTCCTTCTCCTCGCACTTCGCCATTCTGCCCACGGTGCAACGGGCGCGCAAGAGGCGGGGGGACGCGGAGGGATTTTTCGCGCCACGGGCAGGAGGGGGGAGGCGGGCCAGAATGAAACCACCAGGATATGGACCGCAGAATTCCATTTGCCAGGGCAAGCCATTTTGGGTACGTATTTTTTGACCCACCCTGTGAACAAGTCAATGGGGGGGGTCATCAATACTCCATTTAGGGCTCCCAGTTTTGACCATGTGCACCGTTTCCTATGTGGTTGAACTATCGCATCTTTGAGTGGTTTTCCCCAACGGTCGTGTCATGTAAAGGACATTTTGGTGAACCCCCAAGTGAACAAGCTCTTGGAGCGTGTTGCGCGATGCGGATGTGGCAGAAAGCCTTTGGTTGCACTTTAAGGGGCGAGTTGTTTCTTCATGTTCCTTTTTTGAATCTGAGTTGCTGACATCCGGAAGGAGGAAAGCGACAGGCGTCCGGTGCGGGCTCTTTTAAAAAGTCCCAGAAAGCATCACCCCATGAGGACACGCATTTCCAGCTTTCCCCGTATTGATCGGAGTTGCGGTTTGGAGGAGCCACTCACTCACTGGCTCAGTAGATTGGCCGGAAATGGATTTACCTTCAGAAAAATGCGTTTGGGGGTTGATCAATATTCCTGGCCCCAAAGCGACCGTGGGTAACTTTCACCATGCGGTGAAAGTGTGTTTTTTCTCCATGGAAACGACCCTTTTGATCACCCCCCAGTTGACTCCTTTCACCCTGTCTTTTTGTTTACCTTGGCGTTGCAAACCTTGAGACGCGAGTCACGTTGCACCCACGGGCAAGTGCTTTTCAACCACGGAGAAGACACCCCCCCCCCAGGGTTGCACAGAAAAACCGCGAGCAAAACAGAGGCCCCCCTAACGAAGACACCCATATCACGCCTTGGGAAGAGCGAAGCAAGAGGCTAAGGCGAGGGAACTGCGGTCCGGTGGCCGAAAAAAGCCCTTTGTCTTGCCTGTGTGAGGGTCTGTGTGGTGACGTGTTGCATTGTTGCTGGCGTGAGGAAATAGAGACTTTATCTTAACCCCTGCATCTCCACGCTTGCATAACTTCGGCCAGGTTTCAACGGGTTATCACGCTTGGCCTTGACACGTCTCAGGTCAGTTTTCACTTTTGGGGTTCCCACCTTGCTCTAGCTAACCTGACCTCTTCTGAAGGTTCGCATGCTTGCGCCACTTTCTGTGGCGCACTTCTTGCTAACGCCAGACAGGGGTCAAATATATTCCAATGGCCACTTGGCGAGTGGGGAAACCAAAATCAGGGGTCTTGGGTTTGTCAAAGCAATCAGTTTTTTCCATTTTGATGCAATCACAACCCAAACAACGGGCATGAACCTTTTGGTTTGTTCGCAGGCGGCGTTCCATTCCGGAGAAGCTACAGGGTCTGGTTCTGCAGTGGATTTCACTTGTGTTCCCCTTGTCTTGCTGGTGCTCAGCAGGGAATCACCACCTTTCAAAGCAGTATTTTCCTAAGCATCCAAATTGGGTCCTTGCCATTCTTTTTTTTGGGGGGGAGGCAAGGAACCCTACTGTTCAACTTGCAAAACAATGTTTTCCCAACTCCTGGTCCAATTCTCTTAGCCGCTCGCTGGGAATCTGCTTCCCGGGAAGCGTTAGGCGCATGTCTTGGATCCAGAAGACGACCCAGTTCACCCCAGAGGAGACTTCACCCAACCAGTCCGACTTGGACGCGCAGGCGGATCCATGCGAGTCCGCTTTCTCCCGTGGTTGAAAGACCCTGTCAAGGGGAAAAGTTTCTCCTTCATGTCCCTTTTCGGAGCCTCCAAAAGCGGCGATCGTTTCAAGGGAAACCAGTACATTGATCAACTTTGGATTTGGGCAATTTCAATGACCTCTGTCAGGCGAATTTATTCGAGTCTGTGTCCGAAATCCTGGGTGAAGCATGTTTTCTCACTCCTTCGGTATGTGCCAAGGGGAAAAGACGAGCTGAACAGAGTTCCCTGAAAGCACACAGCCCCCCCCCAAGTTCCTGGAATACACACCTTTTGAGAGAAAAAAATGTGAGAGGCAAGCAAGAACTTTTAGGATACAGCACACACTTCTTTTCTTTTTTTTTGGGGGGGGGCCACTCAGGAATCAAGTGTAGATGTCTTGATGGTGGATGTTTGCTGCTCTTTTTCGCGCAGGCGAAGAAAGAGGCAGGGAGAAGAGTCACTGCACAAATGGTGCGCTCAAGCTTGCTCGAGCCTGATTTTTTCTCTTCACTGGTTATGCAGGAACTGGATGTGCGTAGCGTCCATTCCATGCCCAGCCGTGAACGCACAGAACGGCTTGTTTCTCCGAACGGCGGCGGTTTGTCGCTTGGGAACCAATTTTTCCCCGGGACTGTCCTGGATTCGGAGATGTACCCCACTAGCCTTCAGGTGGGTGTCCAGTTTTCACCGATGGATCCGGGGGAGAGGGGTCCAAGGCCATCAAGTGTATCCCAACCGAATCCAGAGCACTTCAGCCTGCAATGCAAAAGGAAGCCCCAACGGTTAAACCGTTTGCAGAGACATCTTCTTTTGGTGGACCGCTGGACCACTTTTTGGGGATCCATGCTCTTGTATGTGGAGTATCCTGGTAGAATTTTGAACTCCCCAACTTCGACACTCATACATATTCCGCGCGTAGGACGTGTTCTTCGAGTTTGATGTTGTTCCGCGTTCCTGTGGCCAACGAGTACACGCCAAATCAAACACTTGGGACTGCTTTATGAATCAGGGGTCGACATCGTTACTTTGCTGATGCTCAGTTGTTCAGTGACACCCTTCTTCCCTTTTTTCTTTCCTAGGGTCACTGAACAACAGAGAATGCAGGAACATCCCAGCACATCGTGACGTTTTTGCAGGATGTGAGCTGGGGCAAGGAGCAGAAGGACAAAGCAAGGAAAGAGGCCGATGATTACAAGAAGGGCGGACTGCTGCTTGAAGCAACAAGGCTAGGTCCCCCAGTACTGCCCGTTTACCCTTTTTTGGGAGAGGGTTCCCCTACTAAAATAGACTACGGGAAAAAAGGGTACTAACTTATTCTAACCTCTCTACTGGAGGACCTAGAAGGGCTCCAGCCTTGTGGCAGATGAAATGGCCACCTCACCCAGGATCTTTGTCTTTCTCCCTTTTCGGTGATTTGAACATCACCTGGTGTCACTGAACACGGATCAAAAGGCTCGCCGATTCTTGGCACATCGGCATGCCTGGCGCCCTATACCACGAGCTCATGAAGCAAACGCCCCCGCGGCCCAAAACTCCAGGAGAACGGACAAGAGGGGTTGGTTTAAAGCGGTCCACGGCCTGGATGGAACGAGCTCGCCGAAGTGGGGTTCGTCGCCTGGACGCTTGCTGGTTTTTGCCCAGGGACCTCTTAGGAACCCCAAACTTGGATGGTTTAGTTCAGGGATGGATGGATACTCTCTCAGGGACATCTATTTTCCCAAAAAGGACACCTATGCATTCAGATGCCCAAAGCGAATCGACCTAAACTCACACTTTGGTTTGCCCCTTTGGGGTTCCCATTTTTCGTGGCCTTTCAGGCGATCACCTTTTAGCGAGATGCTTGGCAGCGGTGTTGACCTATTGGCCTTTCGGTTTTCCCGTGTTGGGTTTCTTTGGTGCATTTTGCTTGGATGCTAGGACTTTAACTCTTTGCCAACAAATGGGTTTTCCACTAAACCACTTAAAAGTTAAACTTTTAGTAGGGGAGCAGAAAGCAACGGGGGTTTATGCTTGTGGTGTTGGCCCCAAAGGACCTTCAATTTTTCCAGGTCCTTTATAGGGGCAAGTGAGATACCTGGACATGGTTCTCCCGGGACCCTAACAGCCGCAGTTGGGTATCCCGGTATCCCGTTTTTTTTTTTTTTGGGGGGGGGGTTATACATATATATATATATATATTTGTGTGTGTGTGTGTGTTGGTGGTGTTGAATTTGAAACCCGCTAGGGCAACCACTATTTTTCTGGGGCCGACTAGAAAAAGACACCCATTGGCACACCTAGCCGCTTGTGGCGAAGACGGCCATGGGACCAAGGCTGACACAGCTGAACGACGAGACAGCCCGGGAGACAGTCCGCAGACGAGCTGCTTACGAGACTCGGAGAGGTGTGTTTTCCGGTTTCATTCAACAAAACAAGCATTTTTTTTCGAGTGTCTGGGCTTGAAACTTTTCGGGAAGGCTAGTTTGACTGGTAAATGAAGTGTTTGGACTTGTTTACGCCAATCCACTCACAAAGTCCTTTGTTGGGGCACCAATTGGAAAGAAGCTGAATTGTGGGGTTGCAATCTGCGGGCACAAGACCAGTGCTGGCAAGAACAACAACAACTAGGAGGGGCCCCGGTAGTGCCCCTGTACCCTGTTTTGGGGGAGGGTTCCCCTACTAAAATAGACTACAGGAAAAAACTCGGGTACTCTGTACTCTAACCTCTCTACTGAAGGACCTAGACCTACTTACGGTCTTGAAAGACAATTCCTCAAGGCATCCAGGCGTTCATGAAGATCCTGAACTTGCTGCTGGTCAGGGAAGGAGAAATGGAAGGACAACTATAAACAATCCAACTGGTGGTTTCCTTTCAGGGTGCCAACCCCTGGGTTCATTCCCAACACCCGGGCTCGGAAATCCATTCCCTACCCGCGTGAAAGGCCGAGCCGTTCGAAAGTCGAATGCGCTGCCTGGCTAAGTTTCACGCCCAAGCGTGGGCGCCGGCCTGTTTCAGACTTGGAACATTGCGTTTGCAAGCGTTCTTACTGTGGATGGACGAAGTCCATTTCGCACCACGTTGAAACCATGGGAAACCAGAAATTGTGGGTATTTACAGGATAATCATCATTCCAGGGATTCTTAGGTGGTGCAGGATTTTGTTCATCCACAGTATGGATTTGCGCACAGGCCCACAAAGTGCCACGCGCAACGCCTGGATGAACAACCGCCGGGTTGATTCATAGGGGGTGTGCCGTTTTTGGTGAGTCGGACCGCTCTTGGAGGGCCCCCCGCCATTAAAAAGAACCGGTTTGTCTGGGGTCAACACAACTCGCGGAGTTCTCTTTTTGGCTGTGGCAAATAAGCAGCAGGCGAAATCCCGACGTATTCCGAGCTCGGTCAAGCGCTTGGGAACCTCTTGTTGTCATGAGGGAGGGGTCCCGGTGTTCTCAAAGCTTCGCTCGAATGGTCAGGCTTGGCTGGGGCGGAAGCCCTGGTTTTAAGGATCATGGGGCCTGGTGTCGTGCAAGTTTGCTCCAAGTGAACAAAAACAATGCCCAAACTGTGGATGGTTGCGAAATCCATTTCGCACCAGCTAAGAAACCATGGTTGAAACCACTATTTGTTGGTATTTACAGGGGGAATCATCATTCAAGGGCTTCTGAACGGTGGTGCGAAGTGGATTTTGCAACCATCCACCGTAGTTTGCCGCGTTGCCCCAGTTGCGACCGGTGGATTGCGACCCCTTTTTTCCACTTTCTTTTGGGCAGACTGTCCCTTGAAAGTCGACTAACCAAAACTCGGACGCCCTTTCGTTCTTTCGCCTGGAAATCCGCAGGGCATCGGTCTAAGAGCGGTGCAGCTGGGGGAAACTGGTTCCAACTCGTGAAGGGCGTGTCGGCGAGCCGGCGAGCGCGCTAAAGCCGGCCGCTTTTCGCGGGGGGGGACGGACATTTCGACGTTATGAGGTGCTTCAGTCGGGGAAGCTTGGGCGAATCTTGAGGTCAAGATTCAAAGTTCTTGCAAAGTCGCAGATCCTATCAACCACGCAACTTGACGCCTTGAATGGGGAAGGCTTTTCAGCACGGGCCCCCCCCCTTTGGCTTCCAAGGGGAAAGCCAAAGGACTGCTGATTGCCAGATCCTTGCAAATGCGGAGTGCAGTGAAGAACTGCGTTCCAGGTCTTGCATTAGTTGAGCTACGGACTGGGGGCATTAGTTTGACAGTTTCCGGATTTTATCAACGTCATGGGGTTGTTTCCCTTCAACCTACCACTTGGGGGGGTGACTTTGATCATGGTAAACTAGTGGCGCCAGGAGGAAACCAAGCACTTTCTTCGCGCGTCTCAGGAGTTGGAGGAGCAAGCAGCGCAAGCGGCGCAGGCGGCCCAGCAAGCTGCAGAGATGCAGCAGCCTACGGTGCAGCTTGGTCGTATCGAAAAGTTACGAAAGAGAGTCGAAATCACGGCCCTGAATCTTGCAATGTTGACCCCATACTAATCTAGGTCCCCCAGTAGTGCCCTTTTGGGAGGGTTCCCCTACTTAAAAAAATAGACTACAGAAAAGAAGAGTACCCTTATTCTAACCTCTCTACTGGAGGACCTAGTAATATTGATAAACTCTAGTTTATTCATATTGGGGTGTCCCGGTTTAGTCGGGAGTCATACCACTTTTTACTTTTGGAGGGAAACACCTCCCCTATTCATAAACGGGGCTTCATTAAAATGGGGTCAACAATACCCGAATCGACTTAAACTGACCTTCCCGCTTTTGCTCATATGGACGGTTTAGTTCAAAGATGGATGGATACCGAAGCGAATCGACCTATGGGCTTTCCCTATTTCCCACTTGTAGTCGTGGCCCCTTGCAGGTGATCAATGGGGCCGTCAAAGCTCATGGTACATGTTGTTCTCCCCGATAAGCAATTAAATAATCAGCGCGGAAAAGGGTTCCCTCTGAACTGGACAACGGCAACACATCTTGAGGAGTGCCCAACATGATGGTTGGGGGCAGTCTCCCTTCAAGTCACTATTTAGAGGGCAATGTTCAGAGTGTCCTACTCACATGAGCCCATCACAAGCACAAGCAGAGCAAATATATATATATATATATATATATATATCGCCCCGGGCGGGTTTGAAGGTCTAAGACTGGGTCCTTGCGGGATTCGGGTGGTTCTAAGGTGCGGCGTGGCAAATCAGGAGGTCACTTTGGACCGAGTGTCAGTTTCCGGTTTCCAGATACAGCCAAAGGTCGACTTGAACACTTCAAAGCCAGTGGCACTAAGCCCACAACAATGTTTAAACGCATGCTCGGATACGCAGGTCATGGGGGCTAGGGGGGAGGGAGGGTAGTCAATAAGGGCTTATTTCTTGCAGCCAAATCTCCACAGCTTGCCAGGTTGGCAAGGCGGGGAATTCGAAATAATGGCGAAAGGTGCCGACCACATGTGTTGAGATTTGCAACTGTAGGAACCATGGCCCGCAGCAGCACACCGGCGTGCAAAATGGCCGGCACGGTCCGAGCCGAATTTGCCCTTTTGCGCCACTTTAGCGGACGCGGTTGCACCAGGGACAACTAGTGCCCCTACAAATCTGGCCGCACACGTTTCAGAATTCCATTCGCAACCGGAGCAGCAGTCAATGTTGCTGGAGTAGCTGTCTAGATCCGTACCGGATGCACGTGTTCATGAATGTCGCGAATTCGTGGATTGACCTTCGACAATGCTTTCCCTCTTTGATTGGTGGGTTTCTTACCAAAATCGTGAATCTCAAATAAAATAAATGTTCTACCTCTTGGATCCTTACAAACGGGGAGCAGGGCTTTTCACCCCGACATCAGACTCGCAAGGAATACCGACAGCTTTATGGCCAAAATCGCCATGCATCCCTACTTCGAGCGCCTGACAATGGCGGTGATTTTCCTGAACGCAGTATCTTGGCCTAGTGGGGTACTGGGTTGCAATTGTCTTGAGTCGTGTACACATTTCTTGGTCAAACCCATAGAAGGAGCCGTAGCAAGCCGGCAACTCGCTCACTTGCCCCTTGGACGACTTGACCTTACCGTTGGTGAAGACGGCGCAGCGTAAGGTTTGGGAGGTCTTTGTGTTCGGGTTCGGCTAGGTGCTAAGTAACATAATGTGGGGTTTGTCATACTGTAGGACCCCGACTTTTGTAGTTGCGGAATTGGTTTTGGTTTGAGGCCACTACAAGCTCGCTCACGGGAAGCAACAAAAGATGACCCTAGGGTTGACAGTTTGGATGATGAAACTATTGGGCTAAAGCGTTAACCGTAGGTGGTCGCTTGTCTTGACTCTTAATAAGTATCCACTTGGGCCACCATTTTGGCTCAAGTGGACCTTTTGATCTTTTGTCTTGTGATTTGAAATCTTTCTTTCCCCTACTCTCAAAGCCATGTACGCCCCCGCCTACGCTGGTGCCGCGGTAGCAGAGGCCAAGGCAAAGGCCTCCATGGCAAAGTACCTGGCGAGCCTCGTGAAGAGGGAGGAAGAAGGATGGACCGTTTTGGCTGCTGAGGTCCCTCAGGCACCTGACGAGCGTTTCTTCTCCAGCGCAGATGAGCTGGAGCAGGCCCCCCTTATCCCGACCAAGCGCAAGGCAGAGGATGAGCCGATGGAAGATGCAGCCCCTGGGGTGGCGCAGGTGCCGAAGGCCCTGACACGCCCCCCAGGGGCGTTCCTGGAGCTCCTGAACCCGCCGGAGGAGGACGTGCCCATGGAGGAGCTCCTGGCGAAGGACGAGAAGGAGCTGCCGATGCCCAGGTCCCCCTCGGCTGCAGCCCGCTTGGAGGAGGCCCGCCTGGATGCCCGGGCAGACGCCAAGTGGCAGAGGCGCCGGGAGCTGATGGCGAAGGTCAAGGAGCAGGCGTCCTCGGAGGAGGATGAGAACCCCGCAGCCCCCCCGCCGGGGGGGAGCGTGTTCACCAAGGCCCTCAAGGTCTCGGAGGGCCTCTACCAGTTCAGCGACGACCAGATGGCGGGCGACTTCCCTTGCTTCGATGCGACCACGGCCACTAGGCTCCGCCGACTGCAGGCCAAGGACGTCCAGCGGCTCCTGCGAGGCTTTGAGGGCCCCCAACTCAAGCAGGGGGGCCTGGAGCGCGTTGTGGAGGCCTTCTACATCGCCAAGATGAAGTACGAGCATGAGGCCCGGCTCAGCACCCCGGGACAGCAGGTTGGCAAGCGCGCTGGCTTGGGGTACGGGGGCCTGGAGAACCGCCCCCTGGGCAAGGTGCCCACATCCTGGATCTGCCCCTGCTGCACCATGCCCTGGGTGAAGAAGGGCGCCACGAAGTGCATGGGGTGCGGCAAGAAGACGGAGCCCATTGACACGGCGACCAACTCGGCCACCCTGGAGATGGCGGGCACGCATTGGCAGTTGACGGTGGATGACCAGGGCAATGCGGTCTGGACGGCGGCCCGGTCCGCGGGTGCCGAAGGCCCTGACACGGACCGGGCCCGCGACCTCAAGCTCAGTGCCTCGGTGGACGTCAGCGAGCTGGCCACCGACCCGATGGCCTGCGAGAACCCGGACCAGGCCAGCTTCTCGGACTTCGTCCCCTCCTCGGTCCGGGCGGTGATCAGGAACTGCCCCATGGAGCTGGACGAGGAGTTTCTGACGGCCCCACCGGGGGAGAGGCCCCCATTGCCAGGCGACAAGGAAGAGGGCCAGGAATGCAGAGCCTTCCACCCGTCTGCGGTGAAGGCCTTCAAGATTCAGACCCGGCTCAACGCCACCACCATCGCCCAGGAGGAGGCCAAGAAGGCGGACCAGGTGGAAGCGGTGGAGCGCTCCGCGGCGGTCCTCCACGAACTTCAAGGGGGGGCCATTGACGGAGGAGGTGATGGAGGCCTGCTCCTGAAGAACCTGGACTTGGACCTCTTCCGTGAGAAGCTGCTGGACAAGCTGGGTGCGGACTGGGGGAGACCCACACCGGAGCTCCTCCAGGCCCAGACCACTGCGGAGGAGGCGAAAGCGAAACACCAAGCCAGACAGGCGAAGGGCTCCCTCGAAACCAGAATGCTCGAGCCCATCGCGCCTCCCTTCAGTGCGTGGCCTAGTGAGGTCCGGGTCGCCATTGAGACTGGGGTCTTCGAGCCGACAACGGCATGGAGGGACTTCAGTATGGACGACCTCACATCCCTCACGGACTCCTACCTTGAGGCCAAGGCGGTCATCTCGCTGGGTAGGAATCCCTTCCCGGCGGCCCTCAGATCTGCCGGACCTGACAGGGATCCCCATGCCAAAGGCGGGGGGCTCTGGTGCGGCGCGCCCAGGTGCCGAGGGCCCTGACAGGCCGCCCACCATCCCCCCAGCCTCGGGCTCTGGCGTGACGAGCTCAGGTGCCGAGGGCCCTGACAAGCCGTCCGCCACCCCGGTGGGCCTGGACACCAAGGACCCGGAGGTGCAGCTCTCGGTCCTGCGCTGGATGATGAGCAAACGGGTCGGAGAGGTCCGTATCTTTGCGGGCCGCTGGGTCCGACGACCGGGCCCGGTACACGTCCCGGATTGGGCGAAAAACCTCACCAAGGTGAATCCGGAGGCGTTGGAGAAGGGTACGCATCCCAGGAACCACCAGGTGGGTGGACTCCCCTGGGCCAGGTTGCACCAGCAGGCGAAGGCGGGGGACCGACCCTACCCTGGGGACCTGCGATCCATCTTTTGGGCTGCCCCCCACGATCCGGATGAGGACTTCCACTGGACGCGCCAGATCTCGTCCTGGACACTCCCAGGCCTACTGGGGATGTTCGGGCACAGCTACACCCTGCGCCAGCTCTGGGGAGTCTGGGAGTCTCTGCCACTGCTGCAGGGCCCTAGGCAGCGGGGCCCGAAAAACAAGGCCCAGAATCAGACCCGCCTGGAGGGCTGGGAGACCCTGAAGGAGGACGCGCGGTGCTTCCTGAAGGAGGAGGGCCTTCCGTTTCCGCAGACAGGACCGGAGTGGCGATTGGTCTACCGGGCCATGGGCAAGGTCCTCGCGGCCCGGGCCTTCCTCACGGACACCCCGGCGGAGGTGATGCAGCTCCCGGTCCAGGACGTGGCGGACTCCAAGGAGCAGATGATCCTGCGGGCGGTATGCGACGAGCGCATCTCGGTCCCGGTGGAGAGCCTCCAGCAGTTCCCAGAGGTGTACAAGGCCCTCATGGACCGCATTGGAGGCCCGGGGGCCCTGGCGGAGGTGAAGGTCAACTGGCGCTGCAACACGAAGCAGTGGTGGGTCGGCGCAGTCCCCGACTCAGTGGCCCCCTCCATCTACCGCAAGCTCGGCTACACCAACGACATGATCAAGCTGATGGGCCTGGACCCCTCCGCCCCTGGGTGCCGGACAGGTGCCGATGGCCCTGACATCCGCCCCAGGGGAGGCGAGGGCGATGAGGGGATCGTTTACCCCCCCATCACGGCGGACAACGTCCACGGCGTGGTGGGTAAGGACTACCGGAAGAAGAACTATCCGGTGGAGATGAAGCATGTCTTCTGGGCGCACATGGAGTGTGGCCTGGTCCTGAGCTCCGTCACCCCGTGGGAACTCATCCCGAAGACAAAAGGGGAGACCCGGGGGGGCTACATGTGCAAGTATTGTAAGGGGTACTGGCGTGCCGGGGGAGGGGGCACCCGCCTCCTCCAGATCCGGGCCGGCAAGGCCATCTTGCAGCTGGTGTTGGACGAGCCGCCGGAGGGCCTCTACAACCGCTGGGTGAAGGAGCGGCTGGAGTACTACCGCCGGGTGGAGCCCTCGGCCCCGTTGCGGGACGTCTCCATCGTGGACCAGAAGGTGCCCAGGTTCAGATTCAGCCAGACCACCCAGACAGGCCACGTCTCCAATGCCATCTGGGAGCTGATTCTGCGGAATCCGGAGGCTGCTGCGCTCAAGCGCATCGATGACATCGCGAAGGGGGCCGCGTGATGATGCGGGACAACGCCATCTTCCGGCACACCATCCAGGACCGCGGCCATCCGGAACGGATGCGCAGCGCACCCCGGGGGGGGGACAGCTGCCGAAGGCGCTGATATCCCCCCCCAGGGAACAGCGCAGGCCCAGACTTGCACCAGGCGAGGAAAATTGGCGCGGCTTGGGCTGATCCGGGGTGCGCCTTGGTTCCCCTCTCTTGTTTGGTTTTCCCTTTTCGGGGCGGCTCCCTGGGTCCCCCTTTTTTCCCCCGTTTCCTCCGTTTCGGGGTTGACTTTCCGGGGTTTTGGGGGGCCCCCTGTTGTTTGGTTGGGGTTTGCACCTAGGGACTAGGCCCCCGGCTCGAGTGGATCATGATGATGTGGAGGCCCCGCCTCCCTTCCCCGTTTGGGACGACCTTCCTAGGGGCGCCAACCGCGCTCCAGTTGATTTTGCATGACCTTGGATTTGCACCAGTGCAGTCGGACGGGGAAATCCTCGTGGCGTGCTGCCTGGAATGGGTCAAAAAGGACAAGGTCGCCAACCCGGATGCGGTGGTCTTTGACCCGCGGCCGTGGACACGGATCGTGGGGCTGGCACCTGACGGCAACCACGTCCTGGTGGCCTCGGACACCTACAACTTGATCCTCGCGAGGATACTCGGCTCCCAACCACAACCGCTGGAGGAGGCGGATTTGGAGCTCGCTACTAAGACCCTGCAACAACTTCTGTTTCGTGCGGCAGGCGCCAGGCAATCGCACACCTATTCTCCACTGGAAATGGAACAGGCCATCCGGGACCGCGAAGAGTGGATCCTTTCCGGATCGATTGAGGCCCCGGATGTCCTGGCAGTGGCCAACAAGTGGCGGCATTGGAAACCAGGGAAGATCAAAACCCAATTGCCGACATCTCAGAGAGCGTTGGAACAACACTTGAGGGCCAGGTGGTTGGAACGCCTCCTGGGATACTTCATCCCCTTCCGGCACCAGATCCCCTACATGCACCAGGTGATGGGGGCCAGGGAGC